GACAAAATAAATGATATAATGATTATTATTCCTGTTGGTAGACATATCATCGTGGACAAAATAAATGATATAATGATTATTATTTCTGTTGTTAGACATCATCGTGGACAAAATAAATGGTATAATGATTATTATTTCTGTTGTTAGACATATCATCGTGGACAAAATAAATGATATAATGATTATTATTTCTGTTGTTAGACATATCATCGTAGACAAAATAAATGATATAATGATTATTATCTCTGTTGTCAGACATATCATCGTGGACAAAATAAATGATATAATGATTATTATTTCTGTTGTTAGACGTATCATCGTGGACAAAATAAATGATATAATGATTATTATCTCTGTTGTTAGACATATCATCGTGAACAAATTAAATGATATAATGATTATTATCTTTGTTGTCAGACATATCATCGTGGACAAAATAAATGATATAATGATTATTATTTCTGTTGTCAGACATATCATCGTAGACAAAATAAATGATATAATGATTATTATTCCTGTTGTTAGACATATCATAGTGGACAAAATAAATGATACCGTGACTTATTTTATATACTAGCATATAGCCTGTCAAAAATACGGGCCAAGTAATACCACCCCCTACCCATATTATATCCTAACCTCACATTTCATAACTAACTTAAATAAATGAATTTTGCAAAATCAAGCTTGACCAACAAAGAGGCAGAAAAGTGAAGTCGAGGCAGTCAAACGTCGGTAAATTCCTTTGTGAGCCAATCAAAATTAAGATCATTCATGAAGTGAATTCGTGGCGTATTCACGGGATAATTATTGGTAAAAATCAGTTAGATTAACAATTTCTAATATATAGAAAAGCCAGTGCGTTTTGGTAACACTACGTTCCAAAAATGGCTTTTATGTTGTGTCGCTTAGCAACAAAAGTATAACCTAATATTGTTGTTAGTCTCTGTACTGAAAGTATGAAATGAAATGTATAGACAACAAAACAGGAAAAATATTTGTTGATTTCTTAATTTATAGTCTCCGTTGCTTAATGGGGTTTGTTGTTGTATTTATTAAAACCGTTGGTGATATAACATAAAATAGCTTAATACAGAAACGATTTAAGTTTAAAATTGAATCGGTATTTTTACTTTCATGATAAATTTTATGCACTTGGCTCTGGGCTAGGTGATCCCACAGTACGTCTTTACTTTAGGCTTATTATATACCAACACTCACTACACTTATAACGTTTCGCGGAATCCCCCCTCACGGTCCCCTTTCACCCCCGTCACTAAAATCTTAATGGGCAGACAGTAATCGAACTATTCTATCTGGATAAATGTATTTTAGCTTTTATAACTCCTTCTATTTCGAGAAATCAAGCGTGACGTGACACACACGCTGGTTTATATATAGTTTTGGTTATTAAACATATAACTGTTAATAATATAAGGTTTTATTGTCTGATTTATTAAACACGAGGTTTTGTCGTTATTAAGCGCAAAGCTACACAATAGGCTATCTGCACTGTTCTCACTACGGACATCAAAACCAGGTTTTTAACGTTACAAACCTCTGAAAATATCGCTAAGTTACTGGGGGCTAAAACACAAAGTGAGTAATGTGTTAATTGTGTGTTGAGCATATGACTTTGATCGTCACGTGTTAAATATTACCATGTATGTGTTATTTTGTTGTTGTTTGTTATCAAGCACAAATCTGTCCTCTTCAAACCACGCCCCCAAGGTCTCATAGATTATTTTATCTAATCCTGTCTAAAAGACTTTCAATTTGAGGGTAGGTTCGTAGAGATCCTGATGAGTAATAAAACTGAATCTGGTATACGCGCGCCAAAAAAAAAAAACAAGAACAAAAACAAAAAGCTTGAATTTTGCCCAAACCTTAAAAAGTGACAGTTAATAATATCGTGGAATTTTATCTATTATCTTTAATGTAGAAAACTTTAAAACATATAATGTACACAAAAAGTTCTTAATACTTACAAAATCCAAGACTTATTAAATACTACAACCCCAAGAGCCACAGTTACTGTTTTAGGACTTACTAAATACTACAACCCCAAGAGCCACAGTTACTGTTTTAATGACTTATTAGATACTACAACCCCAAGATCTACAGTTACTGTTTTAAGGACTTATTAAATACTACAACCCCAAGAGCCACAGTTATTGTTTTAGGACTTATTAAATACTGCAACCCCAAGAGCCACAGTTACTGTTTTAATGACTTATTAGATACTACAACCCACAATTACTGTTTTAAGAACTTATTAAGTACTACAACCCACAGTTACTGTTTTAAGAACTTATTAAATACTACAACCCACAATTACTGTTTTAAGAACTTATTAAATACTACAACCCACAATTACTGTTTTAAGAAATGTTTTATTGTATTTAAAGTCTACCTCGTAGTGTTAAGTTTAACTTGTTTTAATATATTTGACAGGTCTTAAACATGGACGAGAATCAGTTTTTAGAAGGAATGGGTGTTTTCTTTGTTTCTTTTGTAAGTCAGTATGGCTACGACCGGGTACTGTCTATCTTAGGACGTCACATGCGAGACTTCCTAAACGGTTTGGACAATCTTCACGAATACCTGAAGTTTAGTTACTCCCGAATGAAGGCGCCATCTTTCTTCTGCGAGAACGAATCAGCTAAAGGTTTGACCTTACATTATCGCAGCAATCGTCGTGGTTTCTTGTGGTACACAATTGGTCAGATAAAGGAAGTGGGTCGTCATTTCTACAAAACGGACATCCGCATTGACGTCATCAAGGAGGAAACCGTTAAGAATACTCACCATGTTACCATGAGACTCGCTTTCGACAACTCTGCTTTCAAACTAGAAGAAAAACACGAAACTGCTAACGTTGATAAAGCGATGATGCCGATTAAAGCTGGCTTGTTTCTCGACATATTTCCTTTTTGCGTCGTTTTTGATGAGACATTTGTGATTAAAAGTATAGGAAGTAGTCTTCAGAACGTATTGTCGAAAGTTGTTGGAAGAAAACTCTTGGACATCTTTGACATCAGCAGACCAATTATTACTGACTTGACCTGGAAGACGGTAAGTATCACGTTACTGTTGAAACTTCAATAACAATGGGGGTGCTGCCTTATTGTTGGATGTAATTAGATGTCTACAAGTATTACCTTACTGTTGAAATTACGATAACAATAGGGGTGCTGCCTTATTGTTGGATGTAATTAGATGACTACAAGTATTACCTTACTGTTGAAATTACGATAACAATGGGGGTGCTGCTTTATTGTTGGATGTAATTAGATGACTACAAGTATTACCTTACTGTTGAAATTACGATAACAATGGGGGTGCTGCTTTATTGTTGGATGTAATT